TATTTTGCAGAAACAAATGAAAAATGGAATGAGGCCACGATTACTGAAATTGCTGAAGCATACTTCAAAACCTTAAAGAAAGAGCTAAATACTACACCAGCTATGAAGCTTCTAAATGATCAATGCTCACGACACCGTAAGCGACGTGATACAGTAACTATATTGATATTTTCACATGCATATGCACTTGCTCATGATAAGCTGCATAAATTATACAATTGTTATATTTTTTTTTTAGAAATCATCTAATCGTTTGGCCGCTTTAAATAAGATTCCTGAAGAACAACTAAGTTATCCTAAAAGTGAAGTTGAAAAATTATTTTCTTTTGAGGCGACATCTCCAGAAGTGTCCGATGTTGAAGAAATGGTTAGATCACCGAATAATCAAGATCATAGATCTGAATCTAGAAAGAAGTTATTGGTACCAGGTCTTTCTTGGATGAGCGATGAGGTAATGCTAAATATAACTCATTATTTATATAATAAATAAAAAAAATGACTACTAATACATTTTATCGTTATAGGGAAATCGTATTCGCAATCTTGCAGATGATGTAATCAAACAAACTCGAGTAGAAAAGTTAAATTCCGGAGGCCGTCATTCATATGCCACCCCTATGCCGCGCGAAATTATTACAATGAACGATCCAAGGTGGACTAATATGCAATCGTTAATCCCTGAAAAACCAAAAAATCTTCCAATTTGGGCGTGGAATCAAGTTGATTCAAATGAATACTTCGATGACATTTATGATGATGAATAATCATTATTTAATAAATAATATAAATATTTGAAGGCTTCGAATAACATATTTTCAATTATAAAATTTGTATGTAATGTGATACTTTGATTTGAAAGTAATATATATTACATTTAATAAAATATTGGTGCATATCTGAAAAATAATTGGAATAACTGTATATATTATAAATATCTTCTAAAAGTAATTTAGTGTTATATCCAAAATTACAACTAAAAAACTCTTGGAATACAGTTTTGGTTTTACATTTGGAATACCACAATAAAATTAACATGTTGTACCATAAATCCGACCCTGAAAAATTTTTGTACTTACTTGAATAAATAAATTGAAGAGCTTTAGAAAACTTTTAGAAAAGGTAATGTCTAATAAAGGTTTTCCAACATAATACCTTTGTAAAATATTTATAGTTCTACCTGTGACCGTAACTTGCTGTGTGTCGTACGGTTCATTGAGACTGTTCCGCCTGCACCTCTATTGATTGGCTAACACGTGCTGTAAAGCGGCACGTGCTAACCAATCATTTACCCTATCACTTGCAAAATTTCCAATAAATAAGAACGTTATTCGTCAAAATATTTGACGAATAACTTATACTTATTGGTCGCTTCGCGTCCAATAACTATACATTATCTGGATTAAATGATATAAGTTATTCACACCTCATTTATTATTAACATTGATTTAGTCTGTGCATAACGATCAATTTATCTATCAAATTGTTAAGATATGCTATACTTTTCATTTAATTTCTTATTATTAGTGTTTATTCAATAGATAAGTATAGTAATTTATTAGAATACCAATCTCATATTTTTAACGGTTTCGTCCGATTAAAATTTGAGGGGCCTAATTTAGAGTTAGTATTGATAGAAATTAAGTGTTGGAATTTAAAAATTTGTGGATTCCTAGAGAACCTGTGGCAAAGTTATAGGGTTAGAAGCTGATGTAAGTACGGATTTATTAAATCATAATTATAAACATGCATAACTTTTTACTACAGAAAATATGACAAAGTTATTCAGCTAAAACATAAACACTGGCATTATCTATTATCAAACTTACTATTTATAATATATATAGGCTTATTTAAATATTCGCACATTATTAACAGTATCGGTTTGTAAATTCAAAACATAGTAAGCAGGCTAGGTTTAAATAGTCTTGATTTTAATGAGTATATATTACATTCTGATTTTAGTGGTGGGTGGGTTCAGTGAATTGGTAAGTTTGCAATTTTGGAAATATGGGTTCATAATTTGCAACCGTAGAATACGTGACTTTAACTGTGTGTGGGCTCATTATTTAGAGCATAAATTCATGGCTTTAATGGTGAGTGAGTTTATGATTTCTATAGTAGTTATTCAAGATTATTACAGTAGGTTGGTTCGCGATTTTAGTAGTAGGTAAGTAATGATATTAATTTTAGGTGGTGAAATCATAATTTACCAGTAAGTGGGTTCGTAATACCAATAATGGATGGATTCATGATTTTAATAATGAGTAAGTTTAACCGCAGATAAATTCATGATTCTGATAGTAGATAGGTTCATGATTTTAATAATGTGATTTCAGCAATGAGTAGTTTATGACTCCAATGGAGTATGATTCCTGATTTAAACATTGCGTGGCTCATAATTTCAACAATAGGTAAGTTCATGGTTTTAATAATTAAAAGTAGTGATGTCAATTGTGGATGAATAGTCAAATTCACAAATTTAATAGCGAGTGAATTTATGATTTCAATTTGGTATATTCTTGATTTCATTGATAAATAGATTCGCAATTTAGTGGAGTTAGGTTCAATATGGGCTAGGTGCTGCAAAAAGGGAGAATTAACAAATTTTTTAAAATTACTTTTTTTGCATAAATTAATTTAGAATCAGATCATGATTATTTTATACTTAAGACACAAAAGTAGTTGTTTTAATAAAATTTTGCAATAGCTCTTCAAAATTTGCAACTTCTTATAATTTATTATAAAATTTATAACATAAAAATTGATTTCCGAAGATTATTTTTGTTAATTTACCTCTTTTTTTCAGCGTAGCCGTTTATGGGAGAGCTTAAGAAGATAATATGGATAAAAGGCCAATTAACTCCAACAGTGTACGGGGAAATAAAGATAAATTTAGAGAAGCAAAGAGAGTCTTTTATAACTGTCAGAGGACTAATTATGCAACATAACGCCACGAAGCAAATACTTTGATATCAATATGGGATGATGAGGGGGTGATGCAACTATAGGTGATGCTATTAGGGATATCTCAATAAGGGTGATGGAGTAAAAGCGGACGATAATCAAGTGATATCAGCGGTGATTTTAAGGGCATGTGAGGGATTAACCGAGTTTAGTAACCGATCGTAAGTCTCGTTCTCTACCACAATTCTCGCAAGTCACCAATGTGAATGGCAATATCTGATTCCATACAAACGTTCTAGAATCCGAGTCTTAATAAGCCGAATCGAAGTTACAAGTCAATTCAGTCCGTCGAATTGAGTTCCGAAAGGGTTTATTAAAGTTACAAGTCGAATTCAAAAATCAATACACAAGGGAATATTCATATAAGAATTTATTTAATCTGAAATAGAACGAGAGATTTATTTATTTAATGATCGAAAGAAAGATGATTTTATTGCCTGGAACATTAGATCTTTAAATAAATTTTAGATTTTGGGTACGTCAACGGCCGCGTTTACGCGACTACTGGCACGTCTCTACACGGCCATAGGAACGTTTACGTGCACATCTCTGAGTCATTTCCTTGTTATTATGTAAATATGTCATTATAACAGGTTCAAACGGCTACGTTTACGCTCCCACTGGCATGTCTACGTGCCTTGAGTAACATTCGTATGATTAAGCCACCAAGTGGGTCTAGTACGAAATCCCGACATCCAAAATCTCAACAGGCCATAAACTGACCACGCGACGTGACAATTAAAAATTTAAAGTTTGTTATTGTGCATACTAATCTTTAAATACAAGTCACTCTCGTTATAGTGAAGTGATCCGTTCCATAGTAAAAATTTTTAAGAAGTTCATTATATCGGGAGGTTATTAGTAAATTCACTATATCGAAAGGATTTTTATATAGACTGGTTTGGGATTTATCTTCACTATACTATAACGAGAGTTCACTATAACGAGAATGCCTTGTATTAATTGTCACGTCGCGTGATGTCAGTATTATGAGATTTTGGATGTCGGGATTTCATGCCAGACCCCACCAAGCCACCGTTTTAGTATAAGTTATGAAATAATCAAATGAAATAATCAAAAGAAATTAAAAATATACTAAAATCGGACATTGTTACTAAAATGAGTGGGTAACACAACTAAATTATATACAAGCGGAAAAGTTGCCGACTAAAATATAAGTTTAGAACAAAATAAAGAAACTAAAATTTTAATTCGTTACAGCAGCACTCAGCCCATATTTACACAATGGTTAATTTAACAGTGGATGATTTGTGATTATAATAATGTGTTCATGATTTTAGTAGTAGGCTTATAATTTTAATAGTGAGTTTGGGATTTCAACAGTGGATAGATTGTGATTTTAATAGTGAGTTTGGGATTTCAACAGTGGATAGATTGTGATTTTACAATAGGTAAATTTATGATTTCAACAGTGAGCGAATACAAAATTTTAATAGTAATGATTTAATATTTGATGAATTTAGATTTAACGACAGGCGGGCTTTATACTTTTAATAATTGGTTGAAATCAAGATTTTGGCAATAGATGGTTTACAATTTAATAATGCATAGGAATGTTTTCAATTTTTGCAATGTGGCGGATTTATAATTTCAATCATGAGGCTTTAATCCAGTAGTGGATAGGTTATCTATTTTAATAGTGAATGGGTGAATTTATTAGTGACTAAATGTTTTAATGATTAAGTTCGGTTTTGTGTTTTACCAAATGTCTTTTTAATAATATTTGCTTGTCTGCTTTTGAAAATTTGATTGGTTAAATCTAACGTTATTATTTCAATTAAAAAAAGTTGTTCGCGTGCCAAAGTCATGGGTTTACATAGGATCTTTGCAGTAGAAAGGGCAGATATTGCCAAAAAATGTAAAAAACTTTTTGTGGAGTAAATCACAAGATTACCCGATATAACTGATCAATCAAATCACGAAAATGATTTACCCGGATCAGTCCGAACTAAACAAACTCGATTTTCTCAAAATCATATATTGACGTACCGCCCTTTCTACTGCAAAAGCCCCACATGCTTGTTAATTATCTATTTTATACATAGCTCATCTATTAATTATTACAATAAATGTAAATTACAATTTATAACTCTAGTAATAAACATATAACAGTATATTTAAAATTTAGAAGTAATACACATTACAAGCTTTGTTTAAATTAATTAATAAAAAAGGTTAGAATAGAAACTATAGCTTGTATTTCTTTCTCAGATCAACAGCTTTTACGTTCATTTAGCAGTAATGCCAGATAAACATAAGTTCAAAACTTGTAAATCTTTGCAGAATAATTTCCACATGACATACGTACAAAATAATGCAGCCCAATAATATGCAAGATTTTGCACACGGTTTGTTGTCTGTAAACCATACACTTCGTTTCATCACGTTCCTGGTAAAATTTATAAAATTTTTTAAAAACCTATCGGTTATTAAAACACGAAAAAAATTTGGTTTAAGTTTCTGAAAAAAATTTTAACCAGACTGGGTTATGAAAACCAATTAACTTTGCATGGCCTTAAGGGTTAGGTCTATGTTAGGGTTGGAGAAAAATGTTCCTGAAAAATATGCAATTTCTGAAAAAAGACGTTCTTCCTGATTGTGTTATGTTACATTAAATCGAGACACAATATTGGATAGGCACTGTATATCTTCATATATATTTCCGTGGTAATGAATGATTCTGGTAACTCTGCCGATAGCATCAAATAAAATAATTGGTCTAGCGATAATAGAAACAATGGTCTACATTTGGAAGCTTTATTATAATAGTTAACTTAAT